GTGTGGAGGGAAAGAGAGAGAGAGAAATGGGGGCACACTTAGAAGATAGATACGATATAAACTCCTTCATTCAACAAATAGCCTTTTTGCACATTTGCACTGGAGGAAAAATGGCCTATAGAGAGAAATTAGATGATTCTTGCTTTCAGGGAATGCGCCCTCTAGTGGGAAGGAGAGGCATGTGCACCACTCCCTGTAAATGCAAGCCATAACCAACTGAGAGCTGTGCTGGCCTAAGAGCCAGCTGAGGGAACGCAGAGATGTATTAACCTGGAACTCGGGGAAGGCATCCTAGAGGAGGTGGCACTGGAGTTGAGCCTTCAAGTCTGGGTGAGCTTGCCTGACATGGAGGGGCAGTCTGGGTGAGGAAGCCTGAGAGCTAAGTCAGGAAACAGGGAGGGTGTGGGGTCAGGCGAGATCGCAGAATACAGGCACCTCCACGGGCTATGAACAAGACTAGTCTGTAGAGAGGCTATAAACATGGGGTGGTGGGTGATACAGGCCAAATGGGAAAAGAGAGCAAGAAGTGAGCCAGGCCAGCTTGCACCAAGCCTGCGCTGTCATCTGGGCTCCCCAGCTAGCTGTGCCCATGGCCAGGCGCTCCAGCCTGCCCCACCTCTGGCCCTAGTGGTTTACTTCTCCAATCCCACTGTGAGGAGAGGGCAGCAGCCCGAAGAAGTGCAGAAACCTGGACTTTGGCGTCAGCCTGGCTCAGCCCTTTCTTGGCTGCGGGATCTTGAGGAAGTGCTTAACCTCTCAGAGCCTGTTTCTTCAACTGTAAAATGGAGGTGATATTACTTACTTTGATAGGATTAGTGATGATGACTCACATGTGTTTGGCACAAACTCATACCAACTAGCAAAAGCCAATTGTTAAATTTTCAGGAATTTTGAGAGTCAGTTGTTAAAACTGTTGGTAGCTTGAAATCAGCTTTGGAAATTGGAAAGTGCTAAAACTAGGACTGGTGTTTTTTTTTTTTTCTTCCCCCAGGGAGCTGGTTTTTAAACATTTACCAACTGAAAATAAGTTATTGATAATGTTCCAGTTCTAGGTCTGAGTAGTACGTTCTGTTCGTTATATTATTTTAAAAATGAATGAGTGACCAAATAGCTAAAACAGTATTGAAGGGGAAGAACAAATTAGGAGGACTCACACTTCCTGATTTTAAAACATAATATACAGCTACAGTAATCAAAACAGCCTGGTATTGGTCTAACAATAAACATATAGACCAATGGAATAGAATTGAGAGTCCAGAAATAAACCCACACATCTATGGTCAACTAATTTTTGACAAGGGTGCTAAGTCCATTCGATGGAGAAAGAAGAGTCTCTTCAATAAATGGTACTGGGAAAACTGGATTTCCACATGCAGAAAAATGAAGCAGGATCCATGCCGCACACCATACACAAAAACAAATTCAAAAGGGATTAAGGACCTAAATGTGCAAACTGAAACCATAAAATTCTTGGAAGAACAAACAGGGCCAACACTGTCAGGCCTAGCTTTCAACAATGGATTATCTAACATAATAACAAAAGCAGAAAACAGCAAAAGACAAACTAAATAAATGATAGCTCATAAAAATTAAAAACTTTTGTTTATCGAAAGACTTTACCAAAAACGTGAAGACAAGCTACCGACTGCGAGAATATCTTCGGAAACCATATATAAGACAAGAATCTAACAACCAAAATATATATAAAACTTCAACAACTTAACAACAAAAAGACAAATAACCCAATCATAAAATGGGCAAAGACTTGAATACACATTTTACCAAAGAGGACATTCAAATGACCCACCAAACACGTGAAAAGATGCTCAGTGTCATTAGCCATCAGACATGCAAATCAAAACCCACAGTGAGATACTATTTCACTCCTACTAGGATAGCAAAGATGAAAAAAACAGAAAATAACAAATGTTGGCAAGGATGTGGGGAAACTGGAACCCTTATCCATTGCTGGTGGGAATGCAAAATGGTACAGCTGTTGTGGAAAACACTGTGGTGGTTCCTCAAAAAACTAAAAGTAGAACTACCATATGATCCAGCAACTCTACTCCTAGGTATATACCCAAAAGATTTGAAAGCAGAGACTCAAAAAGAGACTTGTACACCAATGTTCAGTGCAGCACTATTCACAATAGCCAAAAGGTGGAGACAACAATCTAAATGCCCATCAACAGATGAATGGATAAACAAAACGTGGTACATACATACAATAGAATATTACTCAGCCAGCAGGAGAAATGAAGTCTTGATACATGCTACACTATAGATGGAACTTGAAGCATCATGCCAAGTGATATAAGTCAATCACAAAAAGACAAATATTGTATGACCTCACTTATATAAAAAGACAAGAAAAGGCAAATGTATAGAGAACAGTTTATTAGTGGTTAGCAGAGTCAAGAGGGAGGAGGGAAAAGTGGGGCTAATGGTGATGGAAAGATCACATCGATTAAGGGTGGGGTTGCACAGCCAGTTATTGTAATTGCTGTCAATAAGTTGTACACCTGTAAAAATTTGAACTGGCAAAAAAAAAAAAGAATGAGTATCACAAAGGGACAAATAGTGTATGATTCCACTTCTAACAAATATCTAGGCTAGGCAAGTCTAGACACCCGTGGTTACCAGGAGAAGATGGGAAGGAAGGGGAAAGGGGGACTCACGGTGTAGGGGACACTGAGCTTCTTTAAGGGTGATGGGGAAATTTGGAAATGGATATTGGTAATGGTTGAACAATATGATAAACATAACTAATGTCACTGAATTGTACATATGAAGAATGTTGAAAAGGCAAACAATTTATTACACATATATTTACCACAATAGTATATGTATATATATACGTATATGGAAACCCTGCTGGTATAGTGGTTAAGAGCTATGGCTGCTAACCAAAAGGTCGGCAGTTTGAATCCACCAGGTGCTCCTTGGAAACCCTATGGGGCAGTTCTACTCTATCCTATAAGGTCGCTATGAGTTGGAATTGACTCGACAGCAATTTTTTTTTTAATATACACATATATGATAGATGGGAAAAGGTGAATCTGTGAATAAATGAATGAATGAAAAAAAAGTATTTGGCAGAGTGTCAGGAACATGGACAGTGCCCCCTAGATGGCCATACAGGTGTAGTTAGGGATGCTGGACAAGTCAGATGAAGCCTGGACTCACGGCCCCAGCAAGGTTGGGACATCAAAACTTTTGTTTTAATTTAGTAATTAGTATTTCAAAAAGAAAGAATTGAAGATGTTATCATGGGAGAAATCAGAATTTATGGACTTGCTTGCATTTTGTGTACAACTTAGTGTTGTTTTGTTTTGAATTACACAAGGGAGGGCTCCAGTTCTTAGGGCTCCTGAGGCATTATCAAGCCCTGAGGATGGCAGAAATGGGGTGCAGACAACTCTTAAGGGACAGTGGATGGCTGGGGAAGAGGAGGGGGCAGGTGAGGTGAAGAATTCACCCATAGTCCTCCCACCTTACTCTGGCTCAGCTCAGGGGAAAGTATCTTAAACCACAGGGGGCAAATCTGAGATTTTCTCCTGGGGACAGGAGAGCATGGTGGGATGAGCTGGGGACACTGAGAGCAGAGACTTAGAACCCTAAGAAATCACTGGGTTCAACCTCCCCATTTTAAGGTGTAGAGACAGATCCCAATTAAGATGGATTTACCAGGGTCTTATGAAATTAGCGGCAGAGCAAGGATCCATTCAGGTCTCTGCGTAATCCAGCACCCTGAAGCTAGAGGCTCCGAGGTACTGGAGAGAGGAGATTCCTACTCTTGCACACTGTGCCAGCTCCTCTTAGTGCCCAATGCCCCTTTCTCCAAACATTACCCAAGTCCCTGGGTACCCAGAGAGGGGGTTCAGAGCCTCTGGGACACAGTCCTCTCCTGGACCCACAGACCAGGGAAGAAGCCAGGCAAGCACATACAGGTAAATAACGACCTTGTCAGTCCCTGTGCCAAGGATCTCTCTGTAGATACCTGGGTGTGTCTCCGCTCCTGTAAGCTCCAGGTGCCACTCTGAAGTGGGGTGATAACCTTGTCTGCCTCTGAGTGTTGGTAAAGGCTCCAGTGAGGTGACAGGTGTGAATACATCAGACCACACAGTCAGGTTTCTGTCCTCTGGTTAAGAAGAGGGCATTCAGAAGCAGGAACAAGAGGTGGACCTTAGGGCAGTTGGAGGAGGGGGCACAGTGCTCCTGAGCAGAGGGCTGCCTGGGGGATGCCCAGGGGAAGGTGGCTAAGGCACTACTTTGTCAGCTCGTTACCTGTCACCACTGGTAATGATCCTGTGCGGCCGCTCAGGATTCACGTATAACCCTCTTGGGCTTCTCTGTGTAGATGTAGTGTTGATCATAATGGTAACGCGGGATCCTGGGAACTTCCCGTGGGTCAGGCCCTTTACCGGCATTGCCTGGTGTTCCCTCCAAGGCTCCAGAGGTGGGTGCCGCCAGCGGTGTGGACTGCCAGGGTAAACGTGCGCCGAGAGGTCAGGGAAGGCAGTGGGGTAGTAGTTAGCTGAGGGGGGCTGGTGGTCTTAGGCCTCACGGGAAGGGCCTCCTGAAAGCAGAACCGCAGGCACTAAGGCACTTTCACAGGAGGTGCGAACGACTAAGAGTCGACCCTTCCTGAGACCTCTTTTGCAAGCAAGGTAGGGGCGGTTCCATCAGCACTGCGAATGGTCACAGCAGAGGTAAGGCGGGAGGAGAGCTAGGGCCTCCAAAGTCTTCCAAACTCACTTCCAACTTCCTTCCAAACCCGGGACTCACCGGAGCTAGGGGCTGCTGGCTTGCTCACAGGGGGAGTGTTGATTACACTAAAACTAGCCCCACCGGGTCCGCTCCCGCGCCCCGGGGGCCTGGAGGCCCCGCCCACTTGGCTGGCCTATCGGGACCGAGGGGTGGGATTATGCTAATGAGACCCGCTGGCCACGCGAGCCGCACAGGAGGCTCCGCAGCACCGGGGCAAGGCGGCAGCGGTGATGGCTTTGGCCGAATCGCTGGCAGGCCTGGCCGCGGGCTTGCAGGGCCCACGGGTCGTCCCGAGCCCAGACACGGACTCGGACACAGACTCGGAGGAGCCGAGCCTCCGGCGCAGCGCGGGCGGGGTGTTCCGCTCGCAGGTCATCCACAGCGGTCACTTCATGGTGTCGTCGCCGCACAGCGACTCGCTGACCCGGCGACGTGACCAGAGGGGGCCTGTGGGGCTCGCCGACTTCGGGCCACGCAGCATCGATCCCACACTCACCCGCCTCTTCGAGTGCATGAGCCTGGCCTACAGGTGAGGACGGCTCCGGAGCCGACGGCTGGGGCCCTGGGCACCCGACGCGGCCCGGAGCTCTGGTCCGTGGTTGCTACTCCAGGAGACTCCGGCCACGCCCTGAGCACCCCTCCTCACCCAGCCCCGAGAGTTCTCGGACCCGGCCCAGCCCCAATGCCCCCACGGGCCTTCGCACCTCCTGGTTCCCATTCCTTCCCCACCATCACCCCCTCCATCTCGACGACCTCCGCAGGCCCACATCTGGCCACTGTCTCCCAAAGAAATGTCAGGCTGCCCCTCGCGCGCCCAGAACCCTAGACCATCCTTGTCCAGCCGCACCCTCCACCCCGGGACCCTTCCACTCGACCACCTGCAACCCTCGGCTCCCTCCCCGGCAGCCCTGGCCCAAACCCACTCCATTCCTGCACCCTCGCGTCACTCTCCGCAGCCCGTGGTTGTCCCAATCATAGCCAACGTCGACTGTAACTGACCCGGTCCTTTGTCCACCCCCAACTGCCGGGACACCTCTTATTGATCTGCTAGGTCAAAGGTGGCGGGAGGAGGGTACCCTGACCCGCCCAGAGGGGCGCAGCTCGCCGAGGTGCCCTGCTTTGGGCCTGCAGGGGGTGCTGCAGGCCACACGGGGTTGTGTCCAGGAGGCCTCGGCTCACCCACGTGGGTCGCAGCGGGAAGCCGAGCGCCTAACGCTGCCTGGGACCCCTGGTCCGTGCGTTGCAGAGCGCGCGGGCCGCCGCTCCCCGCCAGCGTCCCAGGGGAGGGCGCGAACCGGGGTCCTGGCCCAGTGCCCTGGAGCAAAGTTCCCCAGAGCAGAGAGACCAGCATAAATTATCAACCGGGAACCGTAGGGGAGAAAAGAGGATCGGCCGGCCTTGATCTTTTCTCTTTGCAAATATATTTTTCTTGCTCCGCGGCGCTCCCCTTGAGAAGCACTGCCTGCGGAGTGGCACCTGCCGCTCTGAGAGAGAGCGGGAGCTGAGGGAGGTTGCGAGGGCGTGTTGCTTCCCCCTCCCCGCCCCACCCCACTCCCGCCCTACCCTGAAGCCGAGACCCCATTGGCTGGAGGCGAAGTAACCTTGGCCCACATGCTCTGGCCCTAGGCCCAGGTCCTGTTGCAACCCGATCGTCCAGGGCACCGGACCGATGTGGAAAGTTCAAATTCCCATCCCCCTCCCAATTCCCCAAGGATCACGGGACCGCCTCGGACAGGGCATTTCAGGTCCTGATCCGCCAGTCCACGGAAAGCGGGCACCCCTCCTCCCAGGCGCCCCCAGGGGTTCCCCGTTTCCCACCCATCCCCAGCTTTGGCTTCCTCTGTGACACTAGATATAGCCCTACTTGGGCGACTCACCCCATCCGGAAAGGGGAAGTTTCGGGAAGGTGGCAAGGTAGGGGATGGAGCACACCCCAAGAACTGCTCCTCTGAGAGGCTGGTTGGAGGCTGATGTAAACCAGCAAGGATAGTTGAGATGGACAGCTCTGGCTGTGTTTTCTCGTCAAACACCCAGAATGTGAAATCTCTCCTCTGGGCCCTGGGGGAAGGGGAGGCTAATCCAGGGATGGAGGGGGCTCAGTGCTAGAGGAGACTTTGAGTTCTCCATCAGGTACAGGAAAAAACAGAGGCTCAGACTGAGACAGAGTGTTAGCCCTCAAAGGTCCCCAAGGATAGGGGTTCCTGGAAGGGAGAGGATTTGGGGAGCCAGAGTGTCTCAGCAGAGTGACTAGATGGGAAATCTCCAGAATGTAGGAGGAGCACTGGCCAGCCTGGCCAGAGAGGATACCTGCAGAGGCCTGGCCTCACCTTCTACACCGGCAGGGCGCTGTGGGCAGAGGAGGACATCTCTTCCAGGGGGAGGCCTGTGTTCCATGGGTCTGTGGGTGGAAGCCCTTGGGAGGATCTAAGAAACCACACTTTTTCATAATCAGGGCTGGCTGGCTATGGAAAGAGTGGCCTCCGGGCCTGGGAGAGCCAGCAGGCCCCTGTAAGGCTGTCAGGGGTATCTAGAGGGAATTCCTGCATGGGGGGTGGGAGCAGCTGAACAGGGAATTCTGAAATTTTTCCCTAGCCCATCCTCAAGATTCCTGGATTTCCTGTTGGTCACCAGAAGCTTTTGAACCCGGCCCCAGGCTTTTCTCCTGGGCTTGGATATTGTCAGTGTTTCCCCAAGCCCTGCCTGGGTCGCAAATGGCTATGAGTGCCATACCTTCCACAGGGGAATGGGGGAGGGAAGGCAGGCAGACTGGGGTTGACAGTGGGTGAACTGAGTGGGCTGGGAGGTTGCTGGGACACAGGCAGGGGCAGCAAAGAAGCTGGCCCAGGAGGTGTCAGTGTACCCTCACCACCACCAGCTCCATGTGTCCCTGCTGGGCAGATGGTGTTTATCTAACTCCAGGCGGGGGGGGGCAGCCAGCAGGCTAGGGCACTGGGTGCTGTGCTCTATTTGGGTAATGAGGCCTGCTGTCCCCTGGGCGGTAGTTCCCCCCTCCCCCAAAGCAAACATGGGAGCTTGGAGACCAGAAAGGAGAGGGGGCCCAGTGACTGACCCATGTACCAAAGGGGCTGCAGGGAGAGGGGCTGAGGAGTCAGACTGCCCATCCCTCCCCCAGGATCTCCTGCTTCCCACCAGAGAGCAGGCCTGGCTTGCCAAAGACAAGCCTTGGGGCCTTGGGCTTCCCATCAGAGCAAGGGCTGGGGAAGGTGGGCCAGAGGGGACTTGAACACAACCCTGGCTTGTAGACCATGAGGAGGGAGGGACTATCAGGGATCTGCTTCCTGGAGGCAAACACTTGGCCTGAGAGTAAACCCCCTCCCCCGCATAGAGCACCTCCGTCTGCCCAGTTGACTGATGGCCAGATGTATCGTGCACTGCCTTCCTCTGGGCCCTGATGCCTTGTCTCATGCATACTCCTAGGAAGGGGCCTGTTTACAGCTCAGCTACAGATTGCCCCCATGGGACTCTGGACCGGGCAGACAGCAGAAGGGCAGTGAGGAGGCAGTGCTGCTCCGAAGTCCCTTCTGGTGAAGACAGCCCTTTTCCACCCAAGCCAACCTCACCCATCCCCCAGCCTCTCCTGGGCCTAAGTGACAGGGAGACTGATGGAGAAAAAGCCACAGGGCCTGAATGAGTTCCCGCCATGTGATCCTGGGCATGTCCCTTTCCCTTCCTGACCCTCGGTTTCCTAAGTAAGAAGCGGGTCTAAGAACTCCCTGCAGCCAGCGCAGGAGACCAATGCCCACAAGGTGATTGGGCATTGTCATTCCAAGGACCCAGATGATAAACAGGCTTGGCCCTGGCTCTGGTCCTGGTAGTAGATTAACGAGCAGTTTTCTCCAGAGAGCACAAGGGCCCCTGGTGGGGACCTGGGAGGGTATTTTAAAGGTCTGACTCTCGGGGTAGGAGTTTTAGGCAGACTAGAGTGAACGGCTGGATTTGGGAGGGGTCCCTCAAAATGCCCCCCAGTGATGGAAAGAGTGTGGGGCTGCAGAAGCTACCCACTCATCTTCCTCTTTCTCCACCACCCCGACCCTGCCCTCTCTGCCAACAGTGGCAAGCTGGTCTCTCCCAAGTGGAAGAATTTCAAAGGCCTCAAGCTGCTCTGCCGAGACAAGATCCGCCTGAACAATGCCATCTGGAGGGCCTGGTACATCCAGTGTGAGTGGGCTGACCAGGACAACCCCAGGGCCTGCCTGGGGACCTTTTGGGGAGATAGGTCCCCAACAATGGGACCCCTGAACAGCTTCTGACCTCTAGAGTGTTTTAGGAAATGTATGCTGGCCCAGCATGGCTCACCCCTGGGAAGCTGTGACATCAGCTGAGTCGAGTCAGCTCCAGGTTCATTCCTCATTCCTTTAGTGTGGTCAGGTGCCTCCAATGCCAGGCTGGGCCAATTGCATCACTCTACAAATGGGGGTACTGACGGTCCTGCATGGGCCTCCGCCAGCCTTTCATTGAGCTCTTGCTGGACACCCAGCTGGTGCGCAGCCCTGAAGGTTTAGGAGGACGGGGCCCCAGGAGGCCATGTGGTACAGGGGAAAGGACCCTGGACTTGGAGTCGCCCAGAGCTGGTTTCCTACCCTGCCTCTGCCTCTTGCTAGCTGTGTGGCTGTGGGCAAGTTGTCTAACCTCTCTGAACCTGTTTACTTGTCTGAACTCTCTGAACCTGTTTACTATAAAATAAGGCCAACAGCCCTACCTTTCAAGGTTGGCACGGGGATAATGGGTAGGAAAGGGCCTCGCATAGTTGGCGCTCAGTAAACGATGGTTGAATCTGATCTGCCCTTGAGAAGGTCGCAGTCATTTGGGGAAACAAGAGCCACTCCCTTGTGGCAGAGCAGCAGAGGTCTCTGTGTTGGGACTTTGTCCAGCTCAGGTCCTGCTGCAGGGTCAAAGGCCACACTGAGCCAAGAACACACAGCCCACGCGGTATTCTCTGTACTGGCCCTCTGGATTCTACCCAAGTGGAGAGAAGGAGTGTTTTTCTGGTTTCTATTCATCTACATGCCCAGGGCTTTCATAAGCATCTTATTTAAGGCTTCCTGGCAACCCTGGGTATTACTACCCCCATTTTATGGATGAGCAACCGAGGCCCAGAAAGTAAGTGACTTGTTCAGGGTGACAGAGCATGAAAGGAGCAGAGCTGAGGCTGCCTGGAGGTGCAGAGCTCTCCAGCTCTGGGCGGGTGCTCCTTCTGCTGCTGCCAGCTGGCCACCTTCCAGTCCTCGCCTAAGAACACAGGTCTCCCAGCAGGGCTGTGGGTGAGGTTTTCACCCTCAGATTATCTGAGTCTCCACCATTTCTGACAACTCACAGGATGGGCCCTGGCCAAACCAGCAAGTGGCCAGGGTGAGTCAGTGTCCCCTCGAGGTATCAGCCTTCACCCTTCTCTTCCAAAGCTGGACGGGATGCACACCCTTTGCTCTGCAGTAGAAATTCCCAACGATGGCTGAGGCATGATGCCACCCAGGGTTCTCATCCAGACAGAGCCCGGTCTCCAGCTATTGCACAGGTTGCTGGCAGGACCCCAGGTTCTGAGACAGAGCTGAGTTTGAGTCCAGCTCTAGCACTCCCTAGCTGTGTGACCTTAGGAAACTCCCTGGCCTCCTTGAGCCACAGCTTGCTCATCTGTAAAGTGGGCACAATAATACGGGGTCCTACTGCTGAGGTTTGCTGTGAGTTTTTAATAAGATTGTTCATATCTCAGGTCAGGCCTGGCACACAGAAGGGCTTCCTGAGGTGAGCTGCTGGGATTTATCATTACTGTGATAATAGTAGCAGCACACGGCAGGCATATGACAAATGTCAGGACCTCTCCTCCCCCTCTGAGCACCAGAGATTCAAAGGTGGGCTTCCGGTGAGGGGTGGGCTGGGGCATGCTCTGTCCCTGCCATGGCTACCCTGGAGGGCTGCCTGACTTACCCCTCGCAGACTTCCTTGCCTTAGGCACAACCTGCAAGGGCCCTGCTGTCTCTCTGCAGGCTCCTGGCCTCTGAGATCTTTTCCGTTCCTCGTCCACCCACGCCCCAAAATCATCTTGGTCTCCTTGGAGCTCCCCAAGCATTTTGCACCGCTCTTCCGGCAAGGACTTTCCACTTCACGTTATCTCATGCTGTCTGTGTGCTTTCCTTATCTCCTCAGCTAAGCAGTGAGGGCCCTGATTCATCCATGCAGGCCCTGTCCCTGACCTGTCCCAGCATAGGTGCAAAGGGTTAGGTGTCTGAATGAATGGATGAACTTATCAGTGTTATATAAAGCCTGCCCCAGCCCCAGGAAGCCACACTGTCACTGCCCTTCTGACCAGATAATAGAGTCCCTGGGCAGGGAAGGGAAGCGCCAAGCAGGGCCCACTGAGCCCTGGTTCTCTGGGGAATTTCTTGGGGCTCATTTCCTCATCTGGGAGCACAGGGGCAGATACACTTGAAGACCCTCCTGGCTCTAACGACCCAGGAGTCCAGACACCCAAGGGCCTCTCCCTTCGTTTTCTGTCTGAATGGCCGGGACAAAACTTCTCCCCCAATCCCACGGTTATCTGTTTTGGAAACTGTCCTTTAGGATAGAACTTTGTAAATGATGCCGAAAGTTCCAGTCAATTTCATGTTGCAGTCGTCCCCCTCCTCCCCAAGCTCCAGGCATTTGGGGTGAAAAGGCACAGCTCCTGCTGCCTTCTCAGTGGGGAGAGAGACAAGCTTGCAAAGAGATAGATGATGCAAGATGGGGAGACAGGGCCATGGGGGTAGGAGGAAGGGCTTCCTGGAGGAGGTGCTATCTTGGAGGGTGGGTAGATGGGGATGAGGCAGAGGAGGGAATTCCACATGGAAAAAGGCCAGAGAGTGGGCTGTGGTGGAGGAAACAGCAGAGGCTTGGTCTGGCTTCAAGATGGGACACATGAAGGGGACGGGAAGGCAGGAGAGGCAGATGGGGGCTAGGTGGACTTTATCCTGAAGGTTGTGGGGAGCCATGGGGGGTATCGGATCTGCACTGTGCTTTAGGAAGAACTGACCTGGCCGCAGCAGGAAGGTGGGCTGGAGAGTGTGAGGCTGGAGTCAGGGAGGTCCTGGTGAGAAATGATACCAAACCAGGGGGCTGGCAGTGAGAGGATGGAGGCGGAAAGATGGTGGAAGAAACATCACCAGCCCTGTGGGATTAGGATGACTGGGAATGCTGGGAGGGGTAGGGATGGGGGGGGGTGTTTAGTGGCAAGGAGGTGCTGTTGGTATCAGAGCAGTCCAGGGGAGGCACAGGCTGAGAGGGGCATTCTCAAACTTCCTGAGTGTGACCAGCTTTGGGACATCCTAGTGGGGGATCCCAGGCAGCTGGGAAATGAGTCTGGAGCCGGAAGGGGGCAGGCTGAAAGGTTTAGGGGCCAGAGAGGGAAGAGTGAAAAGTGGTCAGGAAAGCAGGAGAACAGAGGGAAGGTTCCCGGGCTGAGGGGGGAGGTGGATGTTAGGAGGAGCTTGTCGGGTGCTGTGCAGCCGAGGTCTCAGAGGGTGCGGCTGGGGAAAGGCCACAGGACCCGGGCCTTGAGTGCAGGAGTGGGTCAGGGGGCCATGGGGGCAGATGCTGAGTTGCAGGAATACCGATGAGACTGGGAGGTAAGAAAGTGGTGGTGGCAAGTGTTGATTAACTCTTCCAGAGCTTGGTGGGAAAGAAAATGGGTGGAAAGGAGTGGAAGGTTAGCTTGTTGGGGTGACAAAGGGTAGGGAGAGGGTTAGGAGATAAGAGACAGCCTGGAATGTGTTTATGGGTCAAAGCGTCAGGATTGGAGACTGGGAAGGGAACAGAGGGAGTGGAGGTTTTTACCCTCAGATGGGTGGCCTGCAGTGGACAAGGGTGGTTTTCTGAGATGGGGGGTGGGCAGTGCAGAGGAGCCTGAAGCTGGGGACCAAGGGCCCTGGACCTCTGGCCTGCCAGTCTGATCCTGGACCTTCTTGGGCCATTCACTCCCGGTGGCCTGCCGCCCCACAGTCCCATTCAGCAAGCATTGCCTAGGCACCTACTAGGCTCCTAAGGCACAAGAGGTGGGGGAGGTTCATTTCGCAGTCGGCACAGAAGAGGGCGATGTGGGAGGGCTAGAGTAGGAAAGAAGGCTTCCTGGAAGAGGTGCACTTAATCCGGGCAACGACGGCCAGAAAGAATTTTGTAGTGTATAACTTGAGTCCCAGTCCCCTTGGGATGGAGGACGAGTGAGCTGAGTGCCCCCTGACCAGGACCCCCTTCCCTTAGATGTGGAGCGGAGGAAGAGCCCTGTGTGTGGCTTCGTGACACCCCTGCAGGGGCCTGAAGCAGATGAACACCGGAAACCGCAGGTAGCTGAGCCTTGAGACTGCCCACCCACCTGCCTACCCACCAAGCCTGGCCCCGCCCCCGTCACTGGCGCGGGGCGGGAGAGACCAGCCCAGATGGGAATTGGGGGCGGGGCCACCCGTTCAACTGAGCCCCCTTCCCGACCTTCCCCAGGCCGTCGTCCTGGAGGGGAATTACTGGAAGCGGCGCATCGAGGTGGTGATGCGCGAGTACCACAAGTGGCGCATCTATTACAAGAAGCGGGTCAGTGGGGGCCCAGGGGAGGCCCCAGACCTTTCCTCTTTGACTGCGCGCTGCCTCCCGCTCTTCGAAGAGCCCTTCTTTGTAGACCCAGCCGACAGCGCCACCGTGTGGCCACAGGGTCTCCTCGCAGCCTTCTTACCTCGGAGGGTGCTCCTGAGGAAAATGGGGGATCTCATTGATCTGGGTGGGAGCGGCATTGGGGGGAGTGGTGAAGGAAGCGGCAAGGGAGCCACTGTACAACTCTGTGTGTCCCTGCAGCTCCGTAAGTCCAGCAGGGAAGGTGATCTTCTGACCCCTGAGCAGGTGGGTGTTCCTGGCCGCAGAGAATCCACAGCTTCAGCTGGGTGGGTAGGGCAGTGGCCTAGGGTGCAGGTGGGATGTGAGGGAATGGGGGTGACTGGTGTCCCTCTGGTTGAGCCCTTCTCCCATTGTAAAGAGAAACTTTGGAGGGTGCAGCAGTGGGGAGACCCCAAGCCTTCTGGTTGACTGAGCAGATGTTGGGGACAGGAAGAGGTATAGGAGGCAGAAAGAGGACCCTTAGCTCTTCAGTAGGCCGTCTCAGTCCATCGCTCTGCGGGGGAGTTGTGAGAGGCCAATTGGGGTGGCCCTGGCCTTTCAGGCAGCAAAAAGGGTCCCCCAGGGACAGGCGAGGAAGGGCTGTGCACGGAGGGGCTTCTGGCCAGCAGACCACTTCGCCTCCCAGGCAGGGAAGTGTGGAGCAAAGAAGCCCTCCTGTGCTGACGGCTCTGTCTCCCTAGGCGGCGGGGGGTTGGCATCCACCAGAGCGATGGCGCAAGCAGCTCTTCTCCAGTGTGGTGCCCATGCTGCTGGCGGGCCCAGAGGAGGAGCCCAGCGGGCGGCAGCTCCTGGACCTCGACTGTTTCTTGTCCGACATCTCCGACACACTCTTCACCATGACTCAGCCCAGTCCCGCACCCCTGCAGCTGCCCCCAGAGGATGGTGAGGGCCTGCCCCCAAGAAGCGGGTTGGGAGGAGAGGCTCAGGCCTGTGAGAATCCAGGCACCGAGAGAGGACAGCCAGGAGTGGGCGGCTCGGTGACCCCCAGTCCAAGCCACTGCTGTCCCTCCAGCGTACGTCGGCAATGCTGACATGATCCAGCCAGACCTGACACCACTGCAGCCCAGTCTGGATGACTTCATGGAAATCTCAGGTGTGGCAGGCCCCTCCGGGAGGGTGGGAGGATGGTCTGGGTGATTTCCAAGGTCTCCCTCTGTCTAGCTTTGGGATGTAGCTGGTGTGGCCTTGGATGAGGGCAGGCCCAGGTAGGGTACCTGGCCTGGGAGCCACGGCGTGAAGCTGCAGGCAGGGAGCTCTCCTGAGCTTCAGGGGCTCCCAGGAAAGCCGTGGATGCAGGGACTCTCTCAGGAGAGAGAGGGACTTTGATTTGTTTGGGTTTATAATTTATGTAATACATTTGTAAACTATTTATTAAAGAAAATTTCTGACATGCACAGAGAGAGAGAGAGTAGTTCTGAGCCCCATGTAACCATCACCAACTTCAGCATTTATCAGCTGTCCACCAGTCTGGCTTCATTGAGACCTCACCGCTTCTTCCCTCCCTTGTTATGTTTAAGCAAAGCCCAGGCATCATAGCTTGTAATGCATTTTTTTAGGTAGTAAGTTTCCCTGCCTCCCTCTCCTGACCCCAACCACTAGTTCCCCTCGAAGACTGTTGGTGTCGCACATGTCCCTCCAGCCATACTCATCTCTCTATCAGCACATGTGCACAAGTGTCTTTGGTGTTGTTTTCCCAACAGACTTCTTTCCCCCTTAGCTGTCACTGGGGCCACTGGAGCTGTTAGGGGGCTAGGTGGACATCAGGGCTCAGTCTGTCTGAGCCAAGGCCCCGGGGGCAGAAAGAGGCTCCCTGGATAAAGGGCGTAGTGTCAGTGACCCCTCCAGTACTTCCCACAGGGTTCTGGGCCCATCAGTCAAGAGGTGGAGGCCTTTGGGGCGGGGAGTAGGGAATGAGGAACCACCTCCAGCCCTGGGCGGGGGTAGGGGCTGCAGGGGCAGAAGTGTTGATGGCAGTGCCCTGGGAGCAGACCAGCCTAGTAGGGTGGCCCCCCTGGCTAGGCACTCGGACCCCTGCCACAGGTAGGAACCCAGCCGGCCCCACCCTAGGCTCTGGGCAAAACCAGGACTCGGCTGGGGTTGGGAAGCCATGTCTCTCAACCCAGGGTGGCTGCTGCGGTGGGGACAAATATGGGCAAGCTATGGTAAGGGGATGTGAGGATGTGATCATTACGGCCCTCTCAAAAGCTAAGTGTGCTGGGAGGGCAGGGAGCAACCATCCCTCACCAGCACTGCGTCTTGATTGACCGTGATAGCTCCTTACATGAGAGTGAACCAGAGCTGTGGGTGAGGGGGCTCAGCAAGTGGGGGGCTCAGTGAAGGGAGCTCAGGAGGGACTCAGGGAATGGATGGCATGTCAGTGCGGGGAACAGGGGCTTAGGGCTCAGGGTTCAGCAGGTAGCTGGGGCTAGGAAGCGACTTCTCTCCATGGCTCAGTGGTGGGGGCAAGCATGGGCAACCTATGGTAAGCGGATGAGATGGCTTGCTAATCCATTACCTGCCCGAGCCCTGGGGCAGTGGGCAGTAGCAGTGGGCAAGAAGTGGCTCTCTGGCCTTCAGCCAGGCCAGGCTCAAGTATGGCACTGGTTCTAGAGCCCAGGCCTCAGGGGTCTGGGGATGAGGCCCACGGTCCCTGGAAGATTAGTGACCGCTCACCCAGCCCCTCTGTTAAAGGGAGGCAGCAAGACCATGTGACCCAGGAAACACATAGACACACACACACACAGAGTCACGATAGACATGCACGTCACATCAGGGCAGCTTCACAGGGCGCAGGTAGAGCTGTAGATTTTGGGACAGACACACAAAGAGACAGACAGATGCTTCGTGCAGACCACATGGCGACACATAGGCCTCATGTCTTCTGGCGAAGCAGAGTCACATAAGACATATACACAAGTTTGACCCCATTGGGTTCTAGGTTTGGGGTGGCTCTATCTAACCCACTTCTGGATATCCTTAGGGATGGCTCCTGGGAGAGAGGCCTGAGCAGCTCTCCTGGCTGGTGTGGGGGCGGGGGGAGGGGGCTGGGACCCAGCCGGGACCTCCGGGAGCTGCCAAGGTGGGGTCAGATCTGGCCAGAGCAGCCCAGCCTTGGGAGCTGGTGTGGACTGAAGGCTGGTCAGGGTCAGAGAAAGGTGCCCGGAAGGGAGCGGGTGGGCAGGCGGCACCCAGGCCCGGGATGTGGTTAGGGCACAGGCAGCTGCTTCCCAAAACCAGAATAGCCCAGGTCTTACACAACCCACACCCCAAACAATCTGGCTGCCCGCCTCCCTACCAGCGCTTCCAGGGTTTCCAGCAGCCTCTCACTCCTGCCCCCATTCTGAGCCCACCCTCTGACTCCTGACCGTTACCCCATTAGACTCTTCACCCCACTCCTAGGCCTACCCTGTAGCCCCACCCATTGACCTTCCAACAAACCCACCTTGTCCCAGAGCCACTGACCTCCTGACTCCTTCAACTCCTGTCAACCCCAGGGCCTTCCCTATCCCAGGCCTTCTCCCCTTGGACTCTACCGGTTCCCTCCCTGGCAGTCTCTCTCCGCTGTCCCCCACCCTCCCCTTCTATACCCCCAACAGAGCTGCTGAGGAGAGCAGGCGAGGGGACTGGCCAAGCCTGCAAATGAGGAGGGGGCCTCAGGAGTCAAGTGTGGGAGCCCAGGGAGGGCTGCTTCCTGGGGTCCTTACGCACACCGCACATCCCCTCTGCCTCCCACCCAGGCTTTGCTGCTGCTTCCCCTGAGTGAGACAGAAACTCCCCCATTTCACAATCTCCTGTGGAAGCTGCCCCCCCTCCGTCTGCGGGCCCCCACCCTACTGCCTGCCCCGTCTGGGGAGAGGGTGTCAGGCTCTCCTCCCTCCCACTGTTTGCCAAACCCCGCCTGAGCCCTAACTGCTGCCGCCCTGTGTGTCTGAATTACAGATTTCTTCACCAACTACTGCCCTCCACAGACGCCCACGCCTTCAAACTTCCCAGAGCCCCCCAGCTTCAGCCCCATGACTGACCCCCTCTTCAGCAGTGGGATCCTGAGCCCGGAGGTGCCCCCCACCCTCCTGTCGGGCATGGCCCACCTTTCAGGCAACCGCCTGCAGGTGAGCTCACTCCCCACCCCCAGCCCTGCCCAGCTCACCTGAGTGCTGGCTCCTGGCCCCGTGCACTCTGGGTTCAATTCCATGTTCCGTCACTTCCTGAGTGCCCAGCCAGGTGCTTACTTGACACAGGGAGACTGAAGGGGACAGAGGAGCCCACCTCTGCCCCTTGGGGCACAACTGGGCACGATGGGTGTGGGAGGGAGGCTGAGGGTAGGGGAACATGAGCAGGTCCCTGCTGCGGGATGGAATGCTTGTAGAAGATTTCTTGGAGGAGGTGGCCTCTGGGCCTTGGTGAATGGTCAGGTTTGGACAGAGGAAGAGACCAGCAGAGGGCAAGCCAGATGGGAGGGACAGCACGAACAAAAGCTCGGAGGCAAGAAGTAGATGAGCTGGAATGTTTAGGAAACGATGAATCTACCATTTTGGCCTTCCTGCTGCTGGCTTAGGTTTTGTTTCCCTCCGTCATCAGGCTTTTCAGGCACTGTGTAGTTGATGGTTGAGGTGTCTCTCTACTCCACAAGGCTGTGAGCTCCTTGCTGGAAGGGCTGTGGTTGCTCACCATTGCATCCCCTGCACCTAGCACGTCTGGCACATAGCAGGCACTTGGTAAATTGTTGAGCAGTGAGGAAGCAAGTGAGTGGACAGGTGTGTTGGTAAATGGACAGATGGGTTGTAGATGGAGATGAGTGGATCCATGGTTGGTAAATATATGGGTTGGCGGTGGTTGGTTGGATAGGTGGGCTAGTGGATGGATAAATAGTTTGTTAGATCTGTGAATGGGCTGGTAGGTGGATAAATGGCTGGTGAATGTATGGATGGCAGATAGATGGATTATGATGGGTAAGGAGCCCTGGTGGTACAACAGTTAAGCGCTTGGAGGTTTACCGAAAGGTTGGTGGTTCAAACCCACCCAGCGGCTCCAGGGGAAAAAGACCTGGCAATCTGCTCCCATAAAGATTACAGCCTAGAAAACCCTATGAGGGCAGTTCTACCCTGTCACATGGGGTCACTATGAGTCGAAATCAACTTGATGGCACCCAACAACTGTACCATGGATGGGTTGGTGGATGAAGGAAAGAAGGAAGGATAGATGGTTGGATAAACTGGTGGGCTGGTGGAGAAATAGGTAGATGAGCTAGGTAGATGAGAGAATAGATGGGTTGGTGAATGGATGGAGGGTGGATGGTTGGATAGATGAGTTAGTGGGTGATGGAGAAATGATTTGGTAGATGAGTGAATGAGCAGGAAGGCCAATGCTCTTTCTCATGCCTGATTTGTGTGGAAATGTGTTCTGCTCTTGATGTGTGTGTGTTGGGAAGGGGTCACTTTTCGTATCTCTCCCCAGTGCCCAGCTCAGACCTCAGCCAGGGCAGGAGGCTGCCTGGGTGCCTGCAAGGGCCAGCTTTCCTCCCTGCTCTCTGAGTGTCTGTCTGTGTGTCTCCAGGCTCGGAACAGCTGCCCTGGTCCCTTGGACTCCAGTGCCTACCTGAACTCTGATTTCCTCCTTCCTGAAGACCCCAAGTCCAAGCTCCCACCACCTCCCACACCCCCACCCCTCCTCCACTACCCTACCCCAGCCAAGGTGCCAGGCCTGGAGCCCTGCCCCCCACCCACTTTCCCTCCCATGGCTCCATCCCATGCTTTGCTGCAGGAAGAGCCCCTCTTCTCTCCCCGGTTCCCATTCCCTACTGCCCCTCCTGCCACAGGAGTGTCCCCCCTGCCCACTCCCACAGCCTTCCCACCCAGCCCACAGCCCAGCTCAGGCTCTGCCCCATCCCCCTTCCCTATAGACCTTTTGCCCTTGGGGTACCCAGAGCCCCCCTTTGGGCCTCGCTGTGCAGTGCCCCGGGGCATGCGGCCCAGAGGCAAGCCCCCCAGCCCATGCCCTAGGGGGCGGAAGCCCAGCCCCACCACCTTGGCCCCTGCCACTGCCAGCCCCACTGCCACTGCTGGAGGCACCAACCCCTGCCTCACACAGCTGCTAACCGCAGGTGAGATGGGAGGAACAGGGCCCATGAATGTGGAGCCTGTGGGAGCAGAGGGGGAAGGTTAAGGGGCATGCTCAGGGGATAAGGTGGTGAGGAGTTAGGGACATAGGCCATCTACCCCAGAGGAGTGTGGGCTACTGGAGGAGAGGGATGGGTCTTGGGGACGATGGGTTGGCGCCAGCCCCAGGGCCCTTATAGTTCTGCCTGTCCACAGCCAAGCCTGAGCAAGCTCTGGAACCACCACTTGTGTCCAGTGCCCTCCTCCGGCCCCCAGGGTCCCTGGTAAGATGGTAGGCACTGGGAAGTGAGGTGAGCCCAAAGGCTTCACCCTGACATTCCACCCTTCTCCACCCCAGCAGGAGATGGTCCCTGAACTCCCCTGCACCTTCTTTCCCCCGAACCCGGCCCCCACACCACCCCGGCCTCCTCCAGGCCCGACCACACTGGCCCTTCCCGGGCCCCTGATTGTTCCCAAAGTGGAGCGGCTCTCACCCCCAGCACCCAGCGGTAAAGAGGGGTTGCAGGCCTTGGGGGACTCTTGGGGGATGGAGGGGGAAAAGGAAGGAGGAGAGACTGTGTCTGGAGTCAGGATGAGTCAGACTGGGCAATGGCACCCTATCCTTTGTCAGTCTTTCGGTCTGTCTACCTCTGCCACAGGCAGTGAGCAGCGGCTCTCTGGGGAGCTCAGCTCCATACTAGGCCCGGGGGCTCTGAGCATCTGCGTCTCCCCCCCTCAACCCATCCTAAGCCGGGGGCGCCCAGACAACAACAAGGTGGGTGCCACCCCCCACCTCAAGATCCATTGGCTGCCCCCAGGCCTCGCAGGCTTCCCAAGGACCACCCCACTATCTCCCCGCAAGGCCGAGAGCCGGCGCATCACGCACATCTCTGCAGAGCAGAAGCGGCGCTTCAACATCAAGCTGGGGTTCGACACCCTGCACGGGCTGGTGAGCACGCTCAGTGCCCAGCCCAGCCTCAAGGTGAGCCCCCAGCCCAGGCTGGCACCCCCAGAGCCCCAGGGCCCCTTCCTGGGCCCTACCCAAGACCAAACCCCAGGACACCCCAAACTTCGTGACCTCCTTCCATCCCAGGACCCCCGCGGGCCCCAGGGTAGGGCAGCCTCGCACCTGAGCCTCACAGGTGGCGCCCGCAGGTGAGTAAAGCAACCACGCTGCAGAAGACGGCCGAGTACATCGTCACGCTGCAGCAGGAGCGGGCGGCCATGCGGGAGGAGGCGCAGCGGCTGCGCGACCAGATCAAGGAGCTCAACGCCGCCATTAAGTAGGCGAGGGGTGGGCACTGGGCAAGGGGGGTATGCCGCCGGCTCTGGCCCCTCACCCACACATGCCCCCAGCCTCTGCCAGCAGCAGCTGCCAGCAACCGGGGTGCCCATCACACACCAGCGCTTTGATCAGATGCGCAGCATGTTTGATGACTATGTCCGGACCCGAACGCTGCACAACTGGAAGTTCTGGGTGGTATCCTTGCTTGGACCCAGGGCCAGGCAGCTGCAGGGGCAGTGCCAGAGGTCAAGCAGGGGTCCCTGGCTCCCCCCCAGGTGAAGGGACTGCGTTTCTGCACCTCCTTCCAGGCCCTCGGCATCTTGGCTAGCAGCCTTGCCCAGTAAGGGGCTGGGAGCAGAGGGAAGCTGAGGGAGCTGTAGCCCTGCCTCAGGAAGCCCCGCAGGGCAGTTTGGAGAATCTTAACTCTGAGTAGGGCGAGGCCTCGAGAACAGAGGGACTCTCACACCCTCACCCTGGCTCAGGGGTCAAGCTCTTGACTGAGCCAGGGCTGGAGCCCAGGGATGGAGGACCATCCAGCACAGGAGGAGGAGCCAGGGGGAGGGGGCTGAGGGCCAGAGAGCCAAGCAGGCCTTAGAAGGAGTAGGGTGCTGCAGCAAGGGCCTTGGGGTTTGAGTTTAGATAGTGGCTGGCCCCTCCCTTAGGTTGGGACGGGTGTCAGGGTGACATGTGGGGTAGGTGGGGCTACTGGCTGGACAACGGGCCTGCTCCTTGACCTGGCCCCAGTTCAGCATCCTCATCCGGCCTCTGTTCGAGTCCTTCAACGGGATGGTGTCCACGGCAAGCCTGCAGAGCCTCCGCCAGACCTCGCTGGCCTGGCTGGACCAGTACTGCTCCTTGCCCGCGCTCCGGCCAAGTACGTGAGCCACTTCCTGCACCCTGGAGGCACCCAGCTAAGACCCCAGCTCCAGCCTGCCTCCAACACAGCCTAGCATTTTGGCCACCCCACCGTGCCCTCTGGATGGTCCTCTGGCCACCAGGACAGGGTCAGATGAGGTCCTGGGAGGGGCTGACAATCTTGCCAACTAGTATCTCCCGCATCCCTTTGTCTTCAGCATCGAGGACTGGGGCCCGGACCCCAGAAGGTAAATTAACCTCTCTCTCTCTCACCAGCTGTCCTGAACTCCTTACGCCAGCTGAGCACATCTACCTGTATCCTTACAGACCCAGACCGCGTACCTGAGCAAGCCACACGGGCAGTCACAGAGGGCACCCTTGGCAAACCTTTATAGTGCTGGCCAGGCCCTTTGCTCACTCAGCTGTTCTGGGGCAGCCATCCCTCAGCATGGGCTCCAGGGACAACTTCTGGGCACTCCCCTCCTGCCCAAGCCCTGGCTGTCCCCTCCCTGAGGTTGAGCAGGGCCCAGCATGCAGTCTCATCCCACCTCCTAGAAGCATGGTACAGGGGGAGCTGAGTTCCGCTCTCTGCTCACCACTAACACTGTGACCTCGGGCCACTCATACTCCCTCCCCGGCCTCCATTTTCCAGGCTGCAGAATGGGAACGGGGAGGGTTCAACCAGAAGATGATCCACAGGCCTTTCCAGCTGGGACACTTGGGGCCTAGGCTGGTAACTCAGGGAGCTTGGAGGGGAGAGGATGATGCTGTTTCCCGGTTACTCCCACTTGCTCCCCTACAGGTGGGGTATGGGCCTCTACTCCTGAGCAGAGAAGCAGAAATCTTGGTGGGGCTACAGGATGGCTTCCCTGGGTGTTCCTAGAAAGACCAGGGCAGGGAGTGGCCAGAGCAGGACAGGCATCTTGCCTGTGTGGATGTTTGGGGCGGGGGGCGGGGGTGGTTTTGTAAAGAGCTCTTGACCAATAAAAACAAAAACTACCAGCCAGTGTGTCGCTGTGACTGTCAGCGTGTCTCACTCTGGGACGGAGAGCAAGCAGGCTGGCAGTGAAGGTGGGATTGTAGAGGGCCTTGTCAGCCATGAGAGGACTTCAGCTTTTCCTCTGAGCCAGAAGCCACTGGAGGGCTTTGAGTAGAGGTGCGACAAGACCAGATGTAACTTCTTAACGGGGTTCCTCTGCGTGCTGCGTTGAGAGTAGGCTGTGGTGGGGCGAGGGCAGAAGCAGGAGACCAGGAAGGAGGCCGTTGTAGTCATCCCAGGGAGAAGTGACGGTGCTGGGTCCAGAGCAGGAAGAGGTGGGATTCTGGACACTTTCTGCAGGTTGCGCCAATAGGATTTGAAATTTGACAGAGGAGTGGAAATGGCTCAGGTTTCTGGCCTGAGCAACTGGAAGGAAGGAGCTGCTATTAACTGCAACGGGTGTGGCTGCAGGGAGAGGAATGAGGCCAGGCTGCCTGCTCTCAGGCAGCCTGGGTCAGGTCTGGATGTGCCCGCCTCTGCAGGGGGTCTGGGAAGGGTGGCCAAAGGGGCTGAGGGGCAGGCTCAGCAAGGCTTCTTTGACCTGAAATTGCCAAGGCTAGGAGAGTCAGGGTGGAGCCTCAGAACCCAGCTGCTTGTTCCCAAATATCCCCGCGCCATCACCTGCCCCCTCCTTTGGAGATGCAAAGCCTAGTAGTCAGGGCTGTCTGCTCAGACAGAACTAGCCAGGGCAGAAACAGGGAGCCAGCTTGTTGCTCCCCTTCCTGGGGGCCTAGGCATATGGTTAATGCTCTTGGCTGCTAACTGAAAGGTTGGAAGTTTGAGTCCACCCAGAGGCACCTCAGAGGAAAGGCCTGGTGATCTACTTCTGAGAAATCAGTCATGAAGACCCTGTGGAGCACTGTTTACTCTGATACACATGAGGTCACCATGAGTTGGAATCAACTTGGTGGCAACTGGTGGTGATAGGTCTATAGATGTATAGGTATACTCAAACATGTGCAAAGTTACATCTGTGAACAAGGTTATCTATTCCAGCATTTTCTGTAACAGCAAAGGATTGGAACCAACCTAAATGCCTATCAGCTGGAAAGCTAGTAACAGTTGTTGCCTCCAGGAAGGAGACTTGGGTAGCTGGGGACATAGTGAGAGGGAAATTGTTCACTACATTCGCTTTTGTTACTTTTGAATTTTGAACTATGTGATAATATTATTCAAAAACTCAAATTAAAAAAAAAGACAGCATAGCACTCACAGGCTCAGGGCTGGGAGAAGGCCCTCTCAGCCCAGCTGCTATCTGCAGACCATGTCCTCTGCTCACTCGTTCACAAAGCAAGCCCATTATGGCTGCCACCAGCCCGGCAGGTGGGGAGGAGCCCCATAACATGGTGTCTGAGATCCGTGAGGGCTAGAAACACATCTCCTCTGTTCACAGCATCCTTGTTTTCTAGCAGACTGCCTGGCACACAACAAGCTCAATAAATGCTTGTTGAATGGATGAATGGTACAGAGAGTGGCTTCTTTAAGGAGGTTCTCAGAGGCACTGATGTTCCAGCTGGCTTTGAAGAATGACTCGAGACTTACAAGCATGAAGAAGGGAGGAAGCTGTAATGCAGGCCAGGGGCAAAGGCCTGGGTGCAGGACTAGGCAAGGCTGGCCTAGAGGAGTTAACTGTGCTGGGGGAAGTGGGGAGAAATAAGGCTGGAGAGGGAAGCAGGGGCCAGATGGGGATTGGCCTTAAAGGCTACCCCAGGAAACATGGACTGGTCCCTAGAATCAATGAGGAGGTTTGAGGAGGGGAGGTAACGTTGGGATTTGGGCTTAGGAAGTTGGCTGGGGGCAGAGGAGAAGGGCTGGGTGCCAGGGGCTACCCACCCACTTTGGCCGTCCCTGGGCAGGAGGGGCTGGGCACTGTCCTGCTCTGCTCCCATTGGTAGAAGGGCTGGGCAGCCTGATGAGCCAGGGCTGGAGACAGGAGTGATGCCAGCCAGTGCCACTGGAGATGCCAACATGGGTCCATCACTCCCACAGCCAGGTTTCTAGGCACCCCTCCCAAGAGTCCTCCCTCCATGGCCAGGAGAAGGTTCAGAGAGGTTTGCCACCTTCAAAGTTTGAAAAGGGCAGAAGTGGGGCGAAGAAGTGGAAGTGACAGGGCTGGCCATTGGAACCATCCAAAGGGAGAGTGTGCTACCTTAGAGGGTAGTGAGTTCCCCATGAGGCCAGGTATGTAAGCAGAGGATGGCTGGCCACTTGGCTGGGTTGTCTTAGAATGAATCGATACTTCAGATGGGGAGTTGGGGTAGAATTCCTCAGAGGCCCCAGTATTTCATTCGTTCTTCCATTTATTTAGTCATTGAACAAATACTTACCGAGGGCCTATTACGTGCCCGGCAGTGGGCTTGGCTCCAGGAATTCTGTTCACTGCTGTATCCCTCTCTTCACGGAGTTGACACAAAAGGGATTAGCCTGGTGAGTCTGAATTTTCTCACATCTTCTGAGAACTTCTGGAGACATTTGCAGGATGTAAACGGCAGACGAAGTCCTCTGTGGACTTTGAGTTTCCCTTCCTCATGCAGACTCTAACAAGGATAACAACAAGGACAGTAACTGCAGTCACTTGTGCTTACCAAGCACTTTTTTAAGTGCTTTATGTGTATGAACTTACTCAGCCCTCACGACACCTACGTCATAGGTCCGTTGTGGGAATTTGAGGGTAAATATATAGAGAACACAACAGTGCCAGGCACATATTACAGTATAAAAATTAAAAAAAAAAAGAAAGTTGCTGCTGAGTTGATTCCAACTGACCCCATGTGTTTCAGAGTAGAACTGTGCTCGACAGGGTTTTCCTGGTTGTGACCTTTCAGAAGTAGATCGCCAGGCCTTTCTTCTGAGGAGGAAGCCCAGTACTGTCTGTGTCTCCCTCCCCAGGAAGGGCCCCACCATCAGACACTTGTGCAAGCGAGAAACAGGTAATCGTCAGTCCTCCCCACACCTCACTGCTCTATGGCATCTGCCTCTGAGGCCTGGTGATCTGACCTCCTAAACATCTAGGTCTGCGGCCACACGTGCTCCAACAGAACGTCACCTCTTAATATTCCTCTGTGTCCCCTACAGCTGCTCCTCAAACGAAGGGGTGCCTGTGAGTAACCTGGGGGAGGTGTGTATGTGTGTGTGTGTGCGCGCGCGTGTGAAAATACACACATTGAAACATAGTAGTCCCATTTAACAATTTCTACACATATTGTTCAGTTTCGGGGAGTTTTAAAAAATCCTGATGACCAGGATCTCGGTATGGGGCTTCGACATGAGTGTTTTTAAAGGATATTTCAATGTGCAGCCAAGATTGAGAACCATTGTAACAGAGGCTTTGAGCAGCAAATAACATACATCAGGGGCTCAAATTAGTTTAAATCAGTGACTCTCAAACTTCAGCCTGCATTGAATCGCCTAAGTTGGAATTTTTTTTTTTTTTTTTTAGATGGCTAGGGGGCCCACCCCAGAGTTTCTAATTCAACAGGTCTGAGGTAGAGCCTAAGCACTTGATTTCTAATGCTCTGGTTCGTCCAGGGACCACGCTTTGAGAACCACTGCTTAAACAATGAGGAAATGTATCATTTCACCCAACAGAGAGACCAGATGTAGGGAGGTCGCCAACCGATGCCAGGTGGATCTTATGTTTCAATCACTTCTCTGGCTCTCACCCACCTCTGACAAGGCCATGCTTCTAAGCAGATGTTCAAGGTGCCTTGTTACCCTCCAGCTTCATCTCTTTCCACAGTTCCCCTCCCCTCACATTCCAAGGGGTCTTGAATCTCCAGTGGCTCCTGGGTGGCATCATTCTGCTATGCCCTTGTAAGGCGTGATCACCCCATGAGGGAGGGAGCCCTGGGCTTTCCTGTCTCCCTGCATGCTCCCACCTCCCACCGCATCCTTTCCTTGGGCACAATCTGCAGCCCCCACCCAGACAGGCTGGCCTAGTACTCCCTTCTGCACAACAGTCAGTTCCTTCTCCCTCCACACCCTCCGTCCTGCCTTGCTTTCTGCCTACAATTTCCCCCCACCTTCTGCTTCATCTGTCTAAATGCCATTGGGACATCCCCCTTCCTCATGTGCCCAGCTTTTCCAAATCCTGCTTTGTGTCATGAGTTGCCTTTCCACGTGTTAATCTGGCTTCCAGCTGGGCTGTACAACACTTGAGGGCAAGAGTAAGGCCAGAGTGGCCAGGTGAAGGAGTATGGCTCTTGGAGTGTAGCAGAGCTGGGTTTGCTTCCATGTTGACCTTGGGCAAGTTACTTGACCTTTCTGAACCTAGTTTTATTCATCTGCTTAAAAAAATTAAAGTTACTTCTTAGCACTACCTGTCTTAAAAGCTGCTGTAAAGAGCCATTGAACTCATGGATGTGAATTTTGTAACCTAGGCTGAGCTGTACAAAGAGTTGTTACTCTTTTTTCTCCAATCAACAGGTGGATCAGTAGATTGGAGTCAGACAGGCCTGTGTTTGTGCCCACCTTCACTATCCACCTGTGTGACCTTGGGAAAGTCAATTAACTTCCTAGAACCTCTGTCTCCTAATCTGTGGGATGGGAATGTGAGAAGATTAAATGAAATGCAAAGCTCCTGGATCAATAAATGTCACTTATCCAAAATGCTTGGTGAATGAAATTCTTCTTAAAAGAACAGCTTTGTCTCTAGATGGGAAAAGTGGTTAATGGCTGGACCTGCAGTCTTCTTAAATAGCAAATGAGGGAGGAAAAGCCTAGGATGCCCTCCACGCCCCCTGCTGCCCCCTCATCCCACCACCCACAGGCAATGCCAATTCCCCAAAGACAAAAGGGAAGGAAACGAGGCTGCTCTATTTGCTTTCTGACTGGATCTGTCTCCTCACCTGGGGTTGTGGGTATGTCTGTCTGTAGCAGCCTCTCTCTTCAGAGGGTCCTTCTAAAGGCTAGAGGGCCCAGACTGTCAGGGGAGGCTCCTCGGTGGGGATGGAAATGTTTGAGACTGGGATACCTCACCCGGGTGCCTTGACTTGCTCTGCCTAGGGGTGCTGGAAAGCCGAGGAGCATGCCTGCTCTGGGAACATTCCCACTCCAGCTAAGCTCCCTATGAACTCCACAAGCTTCCTGTCATTTTCCTCTAGACCTGTGGATCTAATCCAAATTCTATTAGTCTTTCAGAATATCTCTTTTTTGGTGAAATCTGAATAAACTCTGTAGATTGTATTTCCTGGTTTAGATACTGTACTATAGTTATGCAGGTCCCTGGGTAGTACAAGCAGTTCGCAATTGACTACTAACCTAACAGTTGGCAGTTCAAACTCACCCAGCAGCCCTGTGGAAGAAAGTTCTGGTGAACTGTTGCTGTAAAGATTATAACCAAGAAAACCCTATGGAGCAGTTCTACTCTGTAACACATGGGGTTGCCATGAGTCAGAATCTACTCCACAACAATGGGTTTAGATTTTTAGTTTACTATAGTTATGTAGGAGCCCTGGTGATGCAGCGGTTAAAGCGATCAACTGCTAACCTAAAGGTCAGCAGTTCGAGACCACCAGTGGCTCCGCGGGAGAAAGATGTGGCAGTCTGCTTCCGTAGAGATTTACAGCCTTGGAAACCCTATGGGGTTGCTGTGAGTTGGGAATCAACTCGACGGCAGTGGGTTCTGGGTTTTACAGTCATGCACCATGTCACTATTGGGGAGACTGGGTGAGGGATACATGGGACCTCCCTATGCAATTGTTTCAACTGTCTGTACATCTATAATTATTTCAAAATAAAAAGGTTTGTTTTGTTAAAAATCTCCTTTTCAACTTCCTTCCTACTCTCCAAAAACCAGTTGCTCTCAAGGCAGTTCCAACTCATGGGAACCCCATGTGTTGTAGACTAGAACTGCACTCCATAGGATTTTCATGGCTGTGACCTTTCAGAAGCAAATTGCCAGGCCTTTCTTCTAAGGTGCTTCTAGGTGGGTTTGAGACACTTCTAACCTTTTGGTTAGTAGTCAAACACTTATCATTTGTGCCACCCAGGGACTCCTTTCTACTCCCCAAGCCACCCCCAAGTTCAGGCCCAAATCACCTTTCTCCTGGATCCTTACAACCACTTCTTGGTTTTCTTTGCCTCTTTGGTCTTTTCACACACTGATCCATCCAGGGACTCTCCCTGAGACACCACTTTTGTCCTTTCTTGCCCTTTAACAACCAACAAAGGCTCCTTTCTGCTTCTCGGATTCAGCTGGCACTCAAGACTGTCCAGGCCTTTCCCACCTGCCACCTTCTTTTTATTCTGCTCATGTCCTGACTCCCTGCCTCTCAGGTTTTTGCTGAGACAGTCCCACGCTCCAATTCCTGGAATGCCCTTTTTCTTCTTCTTTACCACTGAAATCCTGCCCAACAGTAAAATCCCAACTAAATTTGCCCTGATGCTAATAAGACTTTCCCATTGGATTAAATAGGACTACTAATCCAAGCCCTGCCTCCTTGGAAGGACACAGAGTGGCGATGGCTGTAATGACGCTTTTAATAACAGGTTATCAATAAATTATCCAAGGAGAGGCCCGAGCAGCACCTACGAACCTCGTCTGACCCCGTCAACACAGCCCCGACGGCCCCGCCCCGCCCCCGCGTGCGTGCGTGTGTGCGTGCGAGCGCGCGCGGCCCCGCAGAGACGTGCGGATGCCCGCGTTGCTAGAGGCTGAGGTGGAAGCGACTCCGGGAAGATGGAGCTACCGCAGATGCCGGAGCTAATGGGGCTGTCGTTGTTGTTCGGGCTGCTGGCCCTGATGGCGATGGCGGCTGTAGCGCGGGGTTGGCTGCGCATGGCGGAGGAGACGCGCGGCCAGCGCGCTGGTAAGTGGGGCCGGGGCGGTTGAGGTGGCCCGCAGGAGCCTAGCTCCCGGCCTCCGGTGGTCCGGCCTGCCGTTTGGGCCTTCAGTGGTGCCGGGGACTCCTGGGCCTCAATTTCTCCTCCTGGGAAATGAGCTGAGCTTCTAGAGACGAGGTGGTGCTTTGGCCGGGATGGTCGCGCCCCTTGGGCAGGACTTTTTGCAGTCAGCGCCTGCCACTTTCTCGGTTCCTCTGAGCCTCAGTTTCTCCCAGGGTTGCTAAGAGAGCACGTTGTTCGTTATTTTATGATAATGGCGGGCAGGCAGTTGGACATTCACGGAGTTCCACTACATGCAGCAACACTGACGGAGTATCTGCTATGCTGATGCGTAGGGCTTCACAGGTGACTGGCGTCTTTTCGTTTAAGGAGTCCAGTACTGGGTAATGGAGAGAACATCTAAAAATGTAAGTGGAAACATAGTGTAATTAAGTTTTATAGAAGAGATCAGTCCTAGACACCGAGGAAGCACAAGAGAAAGAGACAGAGACCAGCCCACCTATTGGGGGTCAGGGGGTGGATTGTCAAGGAAATCTTCACTGAAAATAGGGAACACATGAGGAGGTGGGATCTTGAATGTATGTGAAAGAGTTTGGCAGGAGGCCAAGAAAGGAAAAAGGCTATTCCTGGCAATAGCAACGTACATGAAGGCAAGGAGCCCTGAAAAAGCATTTGGTATGACTCAAAAGTGAGGGGAGAGGAGTGAACTTACTAGACAAGGCTGAGGAGGTAAACAGAGGCCAGATTGTGGCCATCTTCGTATGCTGTGTCCAGGAGTTTGTGTTTTTTCTGTAGGAATTGGAGAGAGCATCTGCAGCAATCTAGCAAATGCCAACTTTGTGCCCAGCCTGATTCTCAGTTAAGTGAGATATTTTAAGCCAAAGGGACTGTTACCATTCCTGGCACAGGGTAGGTGCTCAACACATCTTGTTCCTTCCTCTCACCCCTGATTCTCTCTGGAACTCCTTTGAGCCTTTAATGCTTGTGTTGGGTACTCTGCTTTTCACTTTGTATATATTATCTCGTCCAGTTTTTCCATCTTGTCTTTAAGGAAGCCAAGGCCTAGAGCAATGAAGTAACTTGCCCAAGGCCAGGGCCACCAGTTAAGGTTGTGCACATTATTCCCTGTGTAGGGACATCTGGCCAAGGATCTGTACTCCACTGGCTGTGCTGTGAACCCACTGAGCTGCATGTGCCTAGAGAGGGCGTCTTTTTCTAATTTGCACTGAGGTGCTATATGGACTTACAGCCAGTAGCCCACTCAAGGTCACTCAGCAGTAGTGCGAGAACCCAAACCCAGGTCTCTCCAAAAGCCTCTGTTTCTGCCCACCTTACAGTATTTCTCTTATTGAGAATAGGGGCATGTCTAGTTCATTGCTTGCTACTCCTGTCAGTGCTTGGTAATTCATAAAACCAGTCACTGTTGACTCTGACTCTTGATGACCCCATTTGTGTCAGAGTAGAACTGGGCTTCATAGGGTATTCAATGGCTGATTTTTCAGAAGTAGATTGCTAGGCCTTTCTTCCAAGGTGGACTTGAACCTCCAGTATTTCAGTTAGCAGCTGAGTGCTTTGTTGGCACCACCTAGGGACTCCAGCAAATCATAGACGATCAGTCAGTGCTTACTGAGTGAGTGAATGTATGAATGACATGGCCCTTTGTTACAGGCCAAAAAGAAAATGGATTTCCACCTGATAAATCCTTGGGATCCAAGAAGCAGAAACAGCATCAGCGGATTCGCAAGGAGAAGCCTCAACAACACAACTTCACCCACCGCCTCCTGGCTGCAGCACTGAAGGTATGCTGGTACCTATGCACAACACACACACACACTACAGACTTTTCCTTTTTAGTGTTCTGTGCATGTTACGGAGCCCTGGTGCAGTGATTAAGAGCTCGGCTGCTAACCAAAAGGTCAGCGGTTCAAGTCCACCAGCTGCTCCTTGGAAACCCAGTGGTGCCGTTCCACTCTGTCCTAAAGGGTCATTGTGAGTCGGAATTGACTCAACGGCAACAGGTTTGTTTTTGTGCGTGTGTGCGCGTGCATGCATGTTACAGACCCTCTGCCTCTGACCAAAATCAGTAGGAATGCCCCGTCCTATCCTTTCTTTTCTCATCCCATCCTCAGCTTGCTGTTAATCCAGGCAAGAAGGCCCCAGAGTCATATCTGAAGGTTGGGCCTCCCTATCTGCCTGAAGGGTTCCTGTTCACCCTTCCTGCAACCCTTCCCCTAGAGCCACAGTGGAAACATATCTTGCATGGACTTTAGTAGCAATGGCAAGTACCTGGCCACCTGTGCAGATGATCGTACTGTCCGCATCTGGAGCACCAAGGACTTCCTGCAGCGGGAGCACCGCAGCATGAGAGCTAATGTGGAGCTGGACCATGCCACCCTGGTGCGCTTCAGCCCTGACTGCAGGTGGGACAGGATGGAGCCCCAGCTTTGCCTGCAGAAGCCCAGCCTCAGGCTTATGTCCTTCCCATTTCTGGTTTGGAGTTGTGAGGGCAAGCCCAGGGTCTCCCTTGGGGGTGGCAGAAAGAGAGCATCCAGGTGGCTTGAGCACTGCTTGGGGCTCCCTCGAGGGCTTTGCAGCTATACAGCAAGGAAGCAGAGAAGGGAGGAGATCTTCCTACCCAGGAAGTGCCAAAGCCTGGCTTCCACATGATTCTTGGAAGCTATAATAGTTTCTTAAACTCTAGGAAGAGACTAAAGGAGCCAGAGCTATGAAAGTCCTATCTTCTGAGGAGTTTTAAGAGAACCAAACTTTTGTAAGTTGTAAGGTTAAGCTTAAGGGCATGAAGAGAGATCTTGATTTTCCCCAGAACCTAGCATAAGATCTGGCCTTCATGTCCAAATGAGTCAGCAACTTGTCTGCTACCTGTCTCTAGAGCCTTCATTGTCTGGCTGGCCAATGCAGACACTCTCCGTATCTTCAAGATGACCAAGCGAGAGGATGGGGGCTACACCTTCACAGCCACCCCAGAGGACTTCCCTAAAAAGCACAAGGCACCCATCATCAATGTTGGCATTGCTGATACAGGTGAGAGGCAGTCAGAGTGGAGCTTGCCCAAGGCAGAAAAGGAAATGGCCCCAGTTAAATTTGCTGAGTGCGTTAATGTTGCCTGAGAGTGATGCTCAGCCTCAGTGTGACAGAGGGACTGTGGCTCTAAACAGCCTGGCTCTGTGCTCCTCTGGGCATCAGGGATTCTCATAAAAGTCTCCTTGGAGAATGACAGTTGGGCCATTGCCCTCATGAGCTCCTGTCATTCCCCCCACACACCCTTCACCTAGGAAAGTTCATCATGACTGCTTCCAGTGACACGACTGTCCTCATCTGGAATCTGAAAGGTCGAGTACTGTCTACCATCAACACCAACCAGATGAACAATACACACGCTGCCATATCCCCATGTAGCAGGTGAGGCAGGGAGGGGCTTTGGCATCTGGGATTGGGGGAGGATGGGGCTGGGGGACAGGGACAAGCAGAGAGAAAGCTTCAAGTAGTGGGACGATCGTACAGGGTGGAGTCAGGAGACCTAGGCTCCAGGCCCAGCTCTCCCATTTCTAGTGATGGGATTTCATGCAAGTCACCATCTCCTGAGCCTGTTTCTTCATCCACAGAAAATAAAAACACTTCATAGAAGATACGGTGTTCCTTAGATAGATAGTTATGAGATTATTAACTTTTCTAGGAAATAGGTTTAGTGGATTTGCAGAAACAAGATGCCCAATTAAGTCTTAAAGAAACCTGGGATTGTATGGCAGGTTTGTGGCCTCGTGTGGTTTTACCCCAGATGTAAAAGTTTGGGAAGTCTGCTTTGGAAAAAAAGGGGACTTCCAGGAGGTCGTGCGAGCCTTTGAACTGAAGGGCCACTCTGCAGCTGTCCACTTCTTCGCTTTCTCCAATGACTCCCGGAGGTGAGTGAATCATCTCTGATTCTTACCAGTGATCCCTCTTGATAACCAGGGTCCTTCTGCCTATCTCACACAGCAGCTCTGAAATGGGTGGGGTGCCTGGCCCTCCACAGAAAGTAGAGCAGTGGACTTGACTTCTTAGCCGAACCCCTAACATTGTCCCAGTGCCCTACCCTGCAGGGTGTGTTTGGGGCTAGAGCCATGATTTTCCATGCTGCAGGATGGCCTCTGTCTCCAAGGATGGTACATGGAAACTGTGGGACACAGATGTGGAATACAAGAAGCAGCAGGACCCCTATTTGCTGAGGACAGGCCGCTTTGAAGAGGCAGGCACCGTGCTGTGCCGCCTGGCACTCTCCCCTGATGGCCAGGTCTTGGCCTTGGCCAGTGGCCGCAGTATTCATCTCTACAATACCCGGCGGGGTGAGGAGGAGGAATGTTTTGAGCAGGTCCATGGGGAGTGTATCACTGACTTGTCCTTTGACATCACTGGCCGGTTCCTGGCCTCCTGTGGGGACAGGGCAGTACGGCTGTTCCACAATGCCCCTGGCCACCGGGCAGTGATGGAGGAAATGCAGGGCCTCCTAAAGCGGGCCTCTAACGACAGCACCCGCCAGAGGCTGCAGCAACAGCTGACCCAGGCCCAGGATGCCCTGAAGCACCTGGGTGCCTTGAAGAAATGACTGGGAGAGTGTGGCAGGAAGGATCTGACCTCCTGCTGCTGCTGCCACTTTTCTTTCCAGGTACTCCCCAGCTGGAAATCTTTTGAAAGGAGTATCTTGATTTTCCAATTGGTGGCCCCTCTCTTTTTTCCAATGAAACTGTTCTTCCCTATTTAGATCTCTCTTCTTGCTGGCTGTGATTCCAGGTCTTACTTGACCTCCTGGGCTAATGACCAAGGTGCTTCTCTTTCTCCTGGGCCCAAGTGGCGGAATCTGTCTTCACAGAGGAGAGTGGTAAATAGAATTGAGAGCGAGAACAATGTAGTCTTTAACCTTGTAGCAACACACCATGGTACCCAAGGAAGTTCGCAATTGTGGAGGCAAAACTTAGGGAACACGTGAATATTAACCAGCAGTTTTGCAGGAGGGGAGATTGGGTTATTTTCCAGTTACAAAACTCATATGGGAGTTAGGCAGAGGCTGGTTTTAATCTAGTCGAGACATCTAACTCCATCAAAAAATAATTAAGGGACTTTATTCTGTGTCTCAGTTTTCTTGTTTGTAAAATGCTGAGTAACTGTTCCCTGTGACAACCTTGCAGAGATGTTGTGAGGGTGTGAAGGTATAAAATGCCCTGGATTTGGAAGAAAGGTGGAAAAAAATAGTATGTTATCTGTTGTCGTCTGGTATCATTTATTAGCTGCCTGATAAAAGTGGGAATCAAACAGTGTGGTTTGGAACCAAATTAGAAAGAAAGAAATACATCCTTTGGGAAGGCAGGGTTTCTGGGACTTGATCATGCATTTCTTACCTGGTTCTGCATTAAGTTATGTGAAGAAATCATAGAACCCCAAGATGGGACTCCTCTCTTCTAGGAAGTTACATCCAGTTTGAAGAGACCTCTTTTCAGTTCGTCAGATGCTTGGGTGCCTGTTCTGTGCCCAGCACCATGCTAGGCACTGGAGATAAACATCAATGAGAAATGGTCTTAGCCCTTAAAGATAGTTTGTGTGAGGCAGAGACGCAGGCACATTCTGTTCTAATAAGTGCTATTTGCTAATTCATAGCTGTAGAACACTGTTACAAAAGTCAAAGCAAGAAAGAGGATTGAATCAGGACGGGCAGTGGGTATGAAGTTCAATTAGGTATTTAGAAGTTGGAATTTTTGGATTTGAGGACTGCTTGAATGAAGGAGGTAAGGGAAAGGAGAAATCTAGGAAGACCGAGTCTAGGAAAAATTTACTCCTCCAAAATCAAATTCTTGATCTCTCTCCCTAAAACTGGTCTTCCCCAACTCTGTAAATGTTTGAATAAGCCAAAACCTTGAGATTATCCTTAATTACTCCCTCTGCCCTCCCCCTCACCACTACTACCATCCACTCCATCAGAAAATTATTTTAGTTATACTCCAGATTATATCTTGAATCTGCTACTTCTTTCCATCTTTTCTGTTAACACCTTGGTCTTACCCACTGTCCTCTGCTACTAGAATACAGCTTCCTAATTGTACTCTGTCTTCTCTCATGCTCAGTAAATCACTTTTCCACACAGCAGAGTAATCTTTTGAAAATGTAAGCCAGGTCACTTTATTCCCTAGTTTAAAACACTCCTAGGGCTTTCCATCACACTTGGAATAAAATACAAAATTCTCACCATGGCCTACAAAGCCCTCTGTAATCTGGCTTCTTCTTCTTCATCTGTAATGTTTATACAGCTGTCCCAACCACCTGAACCTTGCCAGTCCTTGAACAAACCAAGCCAAGTTCTTTCCAGCTTCAAGTGGGGCTTGTGCCTTGGCTGTTCCCCTCGCTTGGAAGCAATTTCCTTTTCTGTTGACAGCCTCATCATGGTTGTCATAATTAAGTTTTCAGCTTAAATAACACTTCAGAGAGACCCTCTCTGGCTACCCAATCTGAAGTAGCCCTTTCCACCAATCATATCACGTCTATCACACTAGTATATTTTATTTATTTTGTATCACTTAATGCTATCTTGTTTGGATGTTTCTTTGCTTCAGGGGTCTAGCTTAAGTGCTTATGGAGACAAACGGGGTGACATAAACGCATGAATTGGGCCGGTCGTCTGGGTGTAAGACAACAGGAAATGGTGGGAACTTGAAGTGACTTGCAGGTCATGGGTCCTGGATAAGGGGCAGGGGTGGCAACTGCTACTTCTTATTCAAGAATCCAGCCGAAGTTGCCTATTTAAGAGAAGCTAGAAGTTGGCAACTTATTTTTTAAAATTTAAGCACTGTTTGGAACAAACAACACTAATGTGGGCGAGACACAGCCCACCAGTGTCTTAGTGTTAGCTTCTGGATTGTTGATTAACCCACTGGAATGTGAGCTCCATGAGGGCAGAATCCTTGTCTGTCTTCTTTGCTCTATATCCCAAGCGCAGTGCCTGGGAAAGAAGTAAGCACTCAATAAATGTTGAACTCAAACCAGGGAAGATTGTCAGAAATTCCAGTATCCTCTGTGTGTGTCCTTCCACTCCCAGTCTCCACTGCGGTTTTATGTTCCTATTGAGATTTCTGACTGATAACGCCATGCACATGGGGCCTGGTGAATATTTGCTCCCCTGTCATCAGAACAATGAGACAGAAACACTTCACCTTTGCATATCTGCTTTGAGAAGAAGTTTTGGCATTCTGCCTTTGTATATCCAGTAGAGGAAGTGACCACAGAATGGTGAGTAGCTGAAATCAGAAGTCTTAGGTTCCAGTTTCAGCTGGGTCACTTAATGACTTGAAACCTTGAGCAGATAGATCACTTGACCTCTCGAGTTTGTTTCCTGATTTTTAAGACAGGAGTACCCCCTGTCCTGCTTGCCTTGCAGGGTTGTGTGTTTCCAATGAGATGAGTGAAAGCACTATAAAAAAGTCATTACAGAGACTTCCTGAGGAAAGAAAGCTCTCACTAAAAATGAAGTTGCTTCTCTTGTGACCATAGAGAAGGTGCCTGGATATTAGCTCAGAGCAGAGGTCGCCAAGTTTTTTTGATCCACAATCCTTGTGTGTGCAGACAGCATTAATATTTTAATATTACTATTTCAACTTCTGTAAGTTTGGAATTTCTCAAAATAAAAAGTTATGGAAATATTAAAAATGGTGATATGTAGCCTATTTTTATCAGTCATCAAAAATAGAAAAAATATAACTACGTAAGTGTACAGTTAAAGGCCTATTGATAGTCCAGGTCAAATTCTGTCAAGGTTAATAAGAATACTTGTATTTTAAAAGATTATTCTGTAACTGGAGACTATAGAAGGTAAGTAGGAAGCACATGTTGTGATGAGTTATCAGTGATGGTGGGTTATTTCATACACTGCTAGATAGACCCAACATTGCCTCAAACTGATCACACATATCCAGAAACTTGATAATCTTTGGATTCACATACTCCTCTACAAAATTCCAGAAATATGGGTCTTCTTAGTGAGCATGGTTTGGTTTTAGCACACACCTGTTGAGGCTGAGGGCCACCAATGGAGCAGAGGTTGGCATTGCAGAATCAACCGCAGCAACTGAAAACATGAATCATACACATCAAAACCTGTGAGTGTCTTCTGAGATAGGGACTTCATTCCAAAGTCTTCATATCATTGAGCTTCTAAGTCTGATTTCAGAGAGTTTAGGGCAGTTTAGTATTGGAAAATGAGTGCAGCCTCCACTTGTTTGCTATTCAGTATGCATGTCCAGTTTGAGTTCATTTGCATTTTATTGCTCACATTATTAGTGGCTGGCATTGAGTGCTAAGCATTTAATCCCTACAACCTCATTGTTTTTGCCTCATCCATTCGCCGCATAACCACATCTCCATTTTTATTTGGTGAACTATCTCTTCCCCCACATTTAATCCGTATGATTTACAGGGGTTATATGCCCATGGTGGGCATATAACCAATCAGCAAATCTCTGGAACTCTAGAGAGGTGAAGATATCTTTCATTTTTCTGCTGGGAGTGCTAAGTAAGAAGGATGTAGGCTTGTTAGCATGTATACGCTGCCAGAGAATGAAGCCACCATAGGAAAGCAGATCTGAGAGAGGCAGAGAGACCGTGTGCTGCTGCTGCTGTTTATTAGACTGCTGTGTCCACGTGTCTGAAGTGGCCACCAATGGACTTTGTCAGTTCCAACAGCCAGGACATTTCTGTTTATGATAAAGTCAGTTTGAGTTGGCATACTCTTTCTTGGAACTGTAAGCTCTAACTTAACAGCAGTATCAGTAGATTAGAGAGTCCAAGTGAATTGCCCAAAGGCACACAGCTAATAAGTGGCAGGCCTAGATTTTTAAAATTTAGGTCTCTCTGGTACTAAAGTGGGGTGCCTCTGTGGCACAAACAAGTGTCAGCTACTAACTGCAAGGTTGGCAGTTCAAATCCACACAAAGGCACCTTGAAAGAAAGGTCTGGCAATCTAAGAGATAACATGCGTTGAAAACCCTATGGAGCACAGTTCTACTCTGAAACTCAGGGTCTCTGTGAGTCAGAATCTACTCACCAGCAACTGTTTTTTGTTTGTGTGCTACTAAAGTACATGCCTTTAACCACCAGGCCCATCCCCAACATTTTAAGGCTAGAGCATGAATTCAAATGGAAGCCCATATGCCATATCTTAATATTTAAAAATCATAAATCAAAGTAAATACGTTCTAGCCTACCTTGATCCTGGAAAGCCAAGTTCGAAGTTAGAATTCTCAGATTCAGAGTTCCATGCCAGCATGTGGTGACAAGGTAAGCCTTTCTTCCACGGCCTCTGTCCTGCATGCTTCTAAGCCTTTTGTGATCTCAGGCCCAGGGCCAAAATGAACTCCCCAATTGCTGCACCCCAAGTTTCACTGAGAGTGTTCATTGGGAGTGGCAGGACTGCCAGGGACTTGCCCACAGTGGCAGAGATTGCTAGTGCTTGCCAACGTCCATGCTTCTTGTTCCTCGATACAAGGCTAGACTACATTTCCCAGTCTCCTTTGCAATTAGGTGAGGCCATATGATGAATTCTGGCCAATGGAATGTGTGCAAAAGTGATCTGTTTAGTCAGGACTGCCTCTGAAAACACCCCTGTGGTTCTCCATTCTCTTCCCTTTTCAGGTAGTGAATGGAGTTTGCTGAGTCTCTAGATTGCTGAGCCAGTAGATGGAGGGAACCTGGGCCCCTGAATGACTGTGAAGCAGGCCCTCCCCCACCCCAGCATCGTAACTGTGAACAAGAAATAAATCTGTATTGTGTTAAGCCATGGGATGTGGGTAGGGGTTTTATAGCAGCTAGTCCACACTTAGTACAGAACATTGCTTCACTTAGCCCTGGGCTTGGAGGCACTGGAACTAGTGTGGTAGCCAGCTTTCTGTAAATCAGAACCACTAGACCCAAATACCTTATTCCCACCCCCACTCCAACTGTAGTGGTGTTATACCTTCTTTCCCAATTCAAGGGTACTCTTGCTGGTTCTACAGGCAGCTGAGTAGGGAAAAGAATCTGGAGTCAGAAGTCTTGAGTTTTTTCCTGGCTTTGCCTCACACAGGTCATATGCCACTCTGAACCTCTGTCTCATACAGATGTGTCAACATTCCCTTTTTGTTGTTGTTGAGAATATACACAGCAAAACACAGACCAATTCAGCAGTTTCTACATGTGTAATTTAGATTACATTCTTTGAGTTGTGTGACAATTCTCACCCTCCCT